AATCTCACCATTATTCATACCAGGGACAGTCAAAACTGACTCAGCAGGATGCCAGGAACAAATGGCTTGAGGACAACACCCTGGATCCTGTGGTTCAGGACAGGATATGGCTGGCTGCCAAAGCAGCAGGCTCCGGTGCTCAGCCCCCTCAGCCACACCTCCAGAGACTGCAGTAAAACTGCATTTCTTTTAACCTTACTGTGGTTAGAGCCTTACTGCAAATCCGTGCTCTGGCAATCAAGACTGCACTGAGCTGCTGCTTACAGTGTGCCAGAAACCTCTCACCAAGTGCTTTTCAGAACTTCAGAAAGAACCTTTATATACATTACACTTTACAAACACTTTGATTCATCTTGATCTCTTAAACAGCTGTCCCAAAACTTTCTTTCCTCTCAACTACTTCCAACCATGACAGACAAAGAGCAGTCACAGGCAGCTACATACTTACAGAACCCAGTCACTACCACTGTTTCCCTGGTTTGATTGTTTTGATTGCAAGCATACAGATTTCTTAAAAGTTCTTCGTGCGTGGTATGTAATTTCTTTATCACAACTCCAAGTTACTTTTCTTGTTTAATAGATCAGCCACAAATTGACTCAATTTAGCAGAGTATCACTAACCCCTCCTCCTTAGAAGTTATGTGCTCCTACTGAAGCTTAAAAAAACTGAACTCCAAGACCTCATTTTGTTAATATCTATAAAAGTCATGCCACTGAAATAAAGTCACTTTTACTAAAGACATTTCACTAACAAAAAGATGTACAGCTTTGTGATATACAAACTGCTGCAATGAGAGCTGCAATACTGGAATGTAACTAAGAACATGCTTCATCCCTCAAAATAAACAGGTATTTGAAATTTGCCTATTTTTTATTTTGAGATTGTAATGTTGCCATTTGGTTCAATAAACTGTATTATTAAGATAGTAACAAACGTTAATAGTTAGCATTAGTTGACATTAGTAGTAGTTATGCTAAGGCTTGGTAGGCCACATGTAACCTGCAGATGAACTATATAGCAGATATTGCAATGTAAGCAGTGTAACTAGGAGATAATCTAGGAATGTACCTTTTGGCAAAACTTAAATGTCAGAGAGATAATCGTACCAGGTAGTGAAAGAGAAGTAAGAAATTGTGATGATGAAGAAATCGTGTAGAAAACATATAAAAACCCTGTGATTTTTCTGTGAAAGGGGGCTCTGTCTTTGGACGCTAGTCCACAGGCTCCCGAGCCCTCAATAAATCACCGCATAAACGACTTTGGTTGTTTGTGTTTTCTTCGGATCGGGCAACAGTAAGAGATTCAGATACTTAAAGCAAGAAATACAAGCTCCACTATGTATTATTTTGGGTTAAACAGTTTCCTTAGACATTCTAGGGAAACAAGAACTTAAGACTACTGCAACTAGTACTTCTTCCACTTGCTTAACTTATAGGAGCATTTGGCTATCTTAAAGAGCTGTTCTCATCTTCACTGTTATCAGAGGAGCACCACAATGAGATTTAGCAAAGCAAGACCATGCTCAATAATCATTCCAAAACAGTTAACATGGACATGTCAGTTTTCCAGACAGGGATTTTTGGGGGGGGTCTTCTATAGGAAAAATGCCAAGGGCAGAGTACAAACAAAGAAGGGTACAACAGCAATGTGCAATCCACTCTTTTAAGTTAATTACAACTCTATCCTTTAATGAAAATTACTTGAAATCCCTTTAGAGGTCATTATTTAGCAAAATCTTGAAGAAACGAGTCTATGCTCATAAAAAAGCCTCACCACAAACTTTAAAAGTATCTCAAAAACTTGAAAAAAAAAGGTCAAAACAGACTCACACATTTGTTTATTTACTATTTCACTGCTGATATGGTGCAAGACCTCCTTGGGTAAAACCTGCTGTTCTGAAGCTGAAGTTGTCTTTAAGCAACCTCAAGCATTCACAAGCGATGAATATGTAACAGAATGGGCACCTTTTTCTTCACAAAGGGTAGAAATTTTTGCTAGTCACTGTGTGAAAGAAGGAACTTCAAATAAAGCAAATTTTGAATATGCAACAGAATTTTACAAGGTTTCAAAAAAAATATTTTCAACTCTTACTATTGTTGAAATAGTCAAATTTGGTGTATTTGAGAGATTGAGGAAAAGTAAAAGGTTCTCCCTCTAACTGGCAAACTGAAAAATCTGCAGCTTTGATTTCTCACTGTTCTATTCTGTATTACCAAATTGGATCTGATCTCTATTTCTTCACAGGGCTCTACATTAATATTTGCTGAGGTGCAGCTCACACACGCAGCAGTATTAACATCTCAACCTTCTTCAAATAAACTGTATTCTGTGGGCTACACAATTTTGTAGAAATTAACTTTCTAGTTCAAGCCTATTTTAACCTTTTCAATAGCTACATCTCCTCAGAAGAGAAAACATTATTAATTGGTATTTACATGCCATTAATTCAGAGACTACACAAAATCAACACTACCAAACCCAAAAACAAATACAGCACAAATGCAATGCAGGGAAAGATGGGGAGGGGCAGAGTGTGGCTTAAGGACTACCTGAGCAGCCTCAAAGGAAATGCATTCTATTAAGAGAAAAGGTACCCACACATCTTAAAATAGGTTCCCTCCCCTTAAGACTCTTAAAAACACAGTGATAATAAAAAGATAAATATTAATATAGAGCCCATCTACCAAAAGAGAATAAAAAACCTAAATTAAAATAAATTTAGGGGCCTTCACCAAACTTGCTGCAAGTTTGGGGACATAAATATCCAACAGCCATAAAGCTGTGAAAGCCCCCAGAATGAATAAAATAAATCCCACTTGCCTCAGACTGAACAGGGCAACACTGAGACTCTGCCTCAGCCTGTCCTATGGCAGGGCTATAGGAAGAAGAAAAATTTAAATTTTAGAAAAAACATGACCCAATTAAGTGAAAGACATGCATTCAAAGTCAACAAAATTCCAGTGATCAAGCAAACAAAAGAAAATGACTGCTATAGCACCTCTTTTGTTAGGCCCAAACAATATTTTTTTGTATTTGGTAGCTATTTCTAAATTGGACAGCTTGTTTTGTATTGTATCTTGATCAGTGGAACGTCAGTCAGTTGTCTTGGGGCATTTTTTCCCATAACTGATAGTATTTGTTGTACTAGTTCATGAGAAGTTGAGTTAAAGATTCCACCAGCCACTGAAAATGTTCACCCTTGTCTTAGTGTTCATGTAGAAACTAGACCAGTACAATTATTAAGACGTTTACTAAGAAGTGTCATTAGTTACCATTTTAAATTGTGGCCCCAGCTCATGGTTTGGTGTATCACTCTCAATTTAACTGAAGGTCATAATGCCCTTCCTTGCCGCTCATAAAACTGAAGTAATCTTGGTATTTTAGTTTTCATCTTATATCCAGAATTCTTTAATTCCTATAAAATAACTAGGTTATCTATTCCATTCATTTTAAGAGTTAGTTACCCAGTTCTGTGTCAGTACTGCTCAAGAGCTCCACAGACTAAAACACTGGCAGAAACCATAGAAGGCAGATGCAGATGAATGTTTCTAGAAGCTTGTTTACATTGTCCTATGCATGCACAGAGCAAGGAATAGTTATCCACTCTTACTAGATAAACAGCCCAGCCTCAAATTTATTATCAGCTAATAATCCTAAAATCTCATCTGTGGAAGAAAAAAAAAGTAATCCAAAAGTTTCAGAAGAAATTTTCAGTCTAAATCATCTAAATAGTACTTTATTTAGAACAACTTTGCTAATGGCAGAAGGCTGTTCTAATGGCAGTATGAAAGTTATATAAAGACTTCTAAAAAGCTAACCCTGGGTTTTTCAAGGTTCTTTCATGCCAGTCTCATCCATTTTGCCCTAAAGATCAGCTGCTTATTATGGTATTGTGAGACCATGCATAAAGTAATTGAGAACCTTCTAAACAATTCTAGATGCTACAAATTCTGGCATATTTTTTTTTAAAACCTATTTTCCCACCTGTGTCCGAAATTTTCTTGTAGCCTAACCTTTTGTATTCAATATCTGCATTATATTGCAATTTCAAGACTGGTCAAAATGCACTTGCAAATGTGAATTTCACTGCAAGATCTGCCATGGTAAATTTAGGCAACAACTAAAAAACAAAGCTTCTGCCTATGTAATTACATCACTAGAGTCCTGCAACAGTTATAAAAGATATGCTTTTCTGTAATCATAAAGGCTTCTACACTCTCTTTCCAGGAAGAGATTAACTAAAGCAAAACCCTGTTTTCATGGCTGCATTACATCAGGGATTTTGCTGGGAGAGCTATGTTGATTACACTTGGTACTGTAAACCAAGTATTTGTCTTTATACAAGCAACTATTACATTCAAAGTAGTTTTACTGGTTTTGGGTAAATGCACCATAAATCCAACTCTCTGAACATTAAGAAGCAGTATCCAAAGAAATGAAGGCAGGGACCAACAGATAACACAGGCACCAAAACACCTGCCTGTTTACAGAAGAATCACACAAGAGACAAGATTAACTGAAGACTAAAGGTAGCCACATCACAGCTCTTATTGCACAGGAATGACAGGAGCAGAAAAGTAAGTATCCATGTGAAAATCACGTGGAAAAATTATTCACCTGCTTGTTATGCAAGTAACAATGAAATATATGTGGCAGTACTTACTCGAGGGATTTTCATAACATTATTACTAAGGAAATATCATTCTCAAATGCATTCAAGCTTGAAGTCTATGCAGTATTAGCTACAAAATGGTACCATTATCAGAATGAGACATTCACCACTTAAAAGAGTGAAACTTAATTAATACAACTTGCAGAATATGCTGAGTTAACAATGCATGCAACAAGGTTTTATCCCAAGAAAAGTAGGGGTCTGAAAACAACATATGGAGTATTATAGAAAGACACCAAAGGGAGAAGGTATTTACTTCACTGGGGCAGAAGAACAAAGCATCCTTAGAGCAGCAATATGATCTTCAGAAAAAGCAAAAAGCTTTATAGTTTTACAAGCAGTAGGTAAGATCACTTTATAATGTATGAATTTTATGTATCATATTATAAAAAGGACAAATATAAGACATCATAAAAATCTCTTAAGTGTTTTATAATTATCCTAATTAGGTAAACAGAAGAAAACAGAGTATAAAAGCATTGCCTCAGCAAAACAAGTTTTATCTGTTAGACTTATGTCTAAAGCAAGATGAAGAGCTAATGAAAGAATTGATATCAAGGCCCACTCAGCACATTTGCAAGCCAAATACTGCACATCTGACAGGTAGATACAAGTGATCAGAGAACTGCTTCTCAACAGAGGCTTGGAGTTATGGTCTTAAAACTGTTGAACACTTCAGAAAAAAGTGCCTGGCAATTCCTAATGGTTAAACTAAGGCCATTCAGGTGTAACTAGATTGCACTGGATGCTCTGGTGCTTTTGAGACATTCTGTGAGACCACAGGTCAGAAGCTGAGACAATGTAATATTTTAGCTGTACTGTATTTTTGCACTTTTAAGAGACAGTACAGAGTAAAGCCATGTGAAGTACTTTAGTGCAGCTAAAAAATCCCAAGACTTCGAAGAAACAGAGCCATAATGCTAAGTATTATAATTAAGTAAAAAACTTACACCACCTACAAAAACATCTATGAATGTAATGACACAAAAATCCTGATGATTCTTCAACCCTACTGTAAAGAAGAGATATCCCCATTAATTAAACTGCAGGTAAGACTTGAGGCTGGAACATGTATTTAAAGTTGACCTGCAAATGAAAAATTCACCACTCTTTTTTTGGTGTTGAGAAGAGGCTGTAGAGGCTATCACTTCCCTCCCCTCTCAAAAGTCTCCCTCTACATTCTCATCAGAGGTATAACACAGGAACACATGATGTCAGACTTAATTACAACCTTAACAGGAACTTGTCACTCTTGTCTTATAAACAGAGAAATGACTAATTCATTAAGGGAAGACCTCTCTGATAAAAAGGACTCTTACTCCAGAAACTTTCACTGAATGGCTCAAGAAAACTCAGACAACATCTGATCATAGCACACAAAAGATGGTTACAAACGGTACACCTTTCAGAGACTGCCAAAATGTGAAATTCTAAACATTTAAAGTAAAAACACAGCATGTAACACATTACTCTTGCCTGCTCTGCCTCTTCTATGCATTAAGAGGGTTAAGCTATTTCTCTTTTGCAGGTCAACTTCAATACATCAACTGGAAGTCACTCACCCATGTGCCATGCACCTAAGCTTCTAGAAATTTTCTTCACCTAAAAGGCTCCTAAAATTCACCTCCATTTGCACATTAAAAAGTGTCAGTTGCAGAGTGAATTAATGGGACATACCTTGGCACTAGGATGTATCTCAGAGCACTTTCACATCCTACAAGCAAGTGCCAGGACTAGAAATCATTTAAAATTTATTGAGGACAAGAAAGCACAAATAAAGAAACATAAGCATTAAGAGAAGTTACACCCAAGAGTCAGGATGTGCCTCCTGCAGCCTCAGTTTTCAGAGGTCAGTTAATAAGTGTACAGGTCTTTGTCTACTCAGATGTACAGCTAAGGAGTGACTTTTTAGAACAAGGAATTCAGACTTTATCAAAACAGCACCAATAATTGTGTTCATTACACCAATGGCTACCACAGCATGCATCTGTACAAACCTTTCAGGCTGTTGTCCATAGCTGGTCACGAATAAAAAGGCATATAAATTTTTCTCCTCTTTTATTACAATGAAGTTTATAACAGTACAGAAAAGTCACATGACCTTAGTGGGTCAATTTACTTAAACCCTGGAACAGGAGGAACTCTAAATACATTAAATATTGTTACAAGTTCAGACTTCAATGTACAAGTAGCTGGGAACAGTTACAGCCCTCACCAAACTATGTTGGGGACATGAAGTCCAACAGCACTTGAAGTGCTGTGAAGGCATAATTTCACAAATAGCAACATAACATTACAGAACTTGCCTTTAAGATGGTATGTTCATGTAATTCCAGCGCCTTCACAATTTAACGAACCATATTTACTATACTTCACTTCTAAAAACCTAGATGAAACATGAAAAAGAAGCCATACAGTATAAATTGCAACATCAGGAAAAGTTCCTGTCATTATTCCAAATAATTTTTCCCATGTAAAATAAGAATGTCCAATAGCTCCTTGCATGTGGGAAGATACTTATTTTTTTAAAAGTCACAATGAAGCCTTAATTGACGGAAGCTTGGCTATATTAACAGCACAAGATGAGAAAAGGTTTAATCTCCAAACCTATTAGAGTGTGAGTAGGAGCATCAGTAGCGGCCACCTTGCGACATTACAGGCGGTCTCATTCCCATCGGAGGGCGAGGAGGTCCACTCTGGTACGGGGGCACCATCGGAGGTCCCTGACCATATGGAGGCATTGCTCCAGGAAGATATCCTGGCATGCCCTGGTGATGAGCACCATACTGACCTATAAACAGAACAGTTAAGATGCAAAGAATAATTTTTAATTTTTTTTTTTAAATAGTGAGAAGTGCATTTTGTGAAAAGCTTTACCCCTCCCTGTTAGCATAGGCAACTTCACAAATCTTTTCAAGAGCAGGAAGCTGGGAAACTTTTGATTACCATGAGGTGGCATGGGAGGTCTCATTCCTTGTTGCTGTGGAGGAATTCCTGGCTGCGGTGGCATCATACCTCCAATTGGTCCAACTGGTGGATTACCCAGGGCAGCCTGGCCTGGTCGAGGAAGATTGCGCTGGTATTTAGGCAACTGTGCCCTTCTCTCTTCCTAAAATCAGAAGAGACAACCATAACACATTGTGTTAAAACTCACCAAAAGCAATGTAAATAGAAGTGCAACAAAGTAGATTATTAAACTATTTTAACTACCTTACAAATTCAAAAACTACTAGTAACATCACATAGCAGCAGTAGGGTTTGCCCCTGCTTTTTGCAGACTTTCTTCCTTAATACAGACCAATTCCAGCATTCTGCATTGAATTCAAATTCTCCCCTTCCCCCAGCTGAATAAAGCCTTTTTCTCTTAAAAACACAAATCTAGAGATCTCTGAACTGTAATTAATGTTCATTTGTTTTATCCGTAAATCCTGTATTTCTAACTGCTGTAATAGCATCATAACAACTTCAAACTGTTTAGTATTTTGTTCTACATTTATTACCTAGACTTAGTTAACTTCAAGTTTAAGACACATGCAGTAAAAGTCCAAATTATATTTTGGGTTGACAGATTTACCACCACCACCAAAACTAAGGCTTAGATTGCAGCATGATCATTGCAATATCCCAGTCATCACTTTGCAATCAAAGACGTTCTCATAGTTACATTTGTTCTGCACAGTTTGTACTCTCACCAATATTAAAATACACATAATGCAGAGCACAGATGAAACTCCATTTAATCTGCCATATCATCACAAATCACATTTTTCAATAAGACAATGAAAACGTATGAACTTACCAGCGATATATCCTCATCTGGATGGATCAACTTACTGGTTGCACTGGTTGTTGTGAGGGTAGCAGGCTTACTTGTGATAGATGTAGCTGGTTTAGCTGCAGTGCTGTTTGTTGTGCTAGTGGTTGAGGCTGTAGACTGTGTGTAAGCAGGGAATGTCGGTTTGGGGGGTTCCGTTGTTGTCGCGGGTGTAGAATTCAAAGGTTTGAAATCAGTACCAACTGGCCCTGGCACAGCTGCTGCAGCCTGTGAAACAAGAGACAGGTCAATATTTATTTCTCAGAGCATAAGAAAACTTAAATGATGACTCTTAGACCTCTGAAATCTTCCAGTGAGATACAGAATTATAACAAGCTTGACAAAAGTAAAGTTCAGCCTTACTGCAAACTAGAGCAACTGAAACCAAGACAAAATAAACCCCAGTATGTACACGTACACACACACACAGGGAAGTCTAAAATTTGCAGGTCAAAAAGCCACCACAACAAAGGAACAACAAAGAAAAAACCACCCCACTATTTGATCTCAAACACTGAATTTAGCAGATGTGTAAATCTTTCCTGAACCACTATTTTTAGGAGCCTCTAAATATAAATTCATTATTCTTTCACTAAATTAACGCATTTTAGCAACCATTAGTTTGGAGTATTAGAGCTCAAAGTGCTAGTATTCATTAAAATTAGGTATTTAGGAAATAATTTAATCAAGTATTTAAGAAAGGTCTATTGTGTCAGGGCTTTAAGCGTTCTCTCTATAAACACACTGCAGTCTTTTCAAAGTACTATGTCTATCTACAGAACTTGAATCTTATTTATGAATGAAGAATCAATGGAAGCAGGTAAGAGGTCCACTAGAGATTCCAACACTTAATCTCTCCTACTGTTCCGTTACAAAAACCCTGTAAAGTCTGTTTTGCAAAGCTGTCTCTAAATACACAGCAATCTTCAAAGCAAATTTTGGTTATGAGAGAATGCTTTTGTTTCTAGTCACTGCATATTTACAATTACCTGAACCTCCCAATCAAAAAAAAATAAATTAATATTCTGCACATAATGCAAATTTAAAACTCCCTACATTATGATGTGGCATATTAAACAATATGAACTAAAAAGCCTTCACCATGCATCAAGCTAACCACTGCCCACTAAAATGCATTTAACTGCTTTCATGCTCTTTTAACCCTTTAGAACCAGGATGTAACATTTCGTTCTTTCACACTCAGAAAAATTGTGAGTTTTGACATGCTTATTTCTGGTAAGATGCAACTCATAATCAAGGACTCTGCAGTTTTACCAGCTAAACATAATCAGGAATATAACAGAAATTATCTGAAGATGTTTAGTCAATTTTAGATTTTATAGAACGGTCCAAAGGGTTAAGTTGCAAAGCAATTTGTTTTAAACTGTGACTTCCTGCGTACTTGTGCTGTGCTAGGAAACAGAGCGTTAGAAGATGCTGAGAGACTTTCTGAATTGGAGGAAGCTGCACTTGAGCTTGTGACAGGTGTCCCCATCTGTAGCATAAAAGAAAGGAAACAGTGAAAAGTCTCCAAACAAATGGGTGGAAAGTATCCAGATGAAAGGATTTCTTATACTAAGCCCTTTCTTATGAAAGGACTGTATTTTTGTAAACATATATCTTCCCTGCAGAAGCCCAAAATGCAAACAGTACATTACAAGGGCTTCTCCAACGTACTTGAAAGCAAGTAAAACCTCAAGGATCTACGAACAAATGCATTCAAAGGGAAGAGGTCACAAGCCACTATCAATTCCCCACTTCCCTCCCCAAAACATTGAAATTAACTTTTCACTACACTGATGCACTCCTAAATTTTTCGAAGGAAAAAAAAAATAAATTCTAACTCAGGCAATGTTTAACCAGTTTAACAAGACTACAGAATAATTCATCCATTGATCAGTGGAGAGCCCATTATCAGAACAACTGAGAAGAAGTCCTGTCAAGATTTTTAATTTGGAAATTTTAGGCAGAATCTATGCAATCAGATTCCTGTAGCTAATACATCTCTTCACCCACCCAAAGTTCCCTTATAAGCAACAAACTAAAGGTGTTTTAAGAGTGTTTTGCCTACTCCTTTGTTGCCCAGTGCTTAAAAAACTTCTGTCTGGTTTCATAGCTGTTTCAAGACAAACAAAAGATTTTTTTAAAATTCATTCAAGCACTACATTGAATTAAACTTAAACATCAATCCCAGCAAAAGCCCAAACCAGTCATTTCTTGGACCTCTTCAATAATAAATAGGCACTACTGACATGGTGGCAATTTGAAGAATGTAACAAGAGATTCCAGGTTCTGGGACACCTTACCTGCCCCGCACTTGGGAAGAGTGGTTTAGTAACTGGAGGCTGTGGAGTGGGTGCTGTTGCAGCAGGAGCTGGAGGTCGGTTCAGAATGCCTGGGGCTGTAACAGGCTGTGCTTGTGTCATTGGAGGCATGCCAGGCCGAGGCCCAACAGGCGGGGGCATCCCTACAAACCACAAACAACAGGTGACGGATCAGGCTCCAGGAAGCAAGAATATTCCTTTAGACAACCCCGTTCCCAGTGCTCCTTAGAACCAAGTTTCCCACTACAAGATATATTTTTAAGAAAACAGTAAAATAAAACATGACAAAGAGTAATGTCAGCAGTCACCAGTCAATCACCATGCACAGGCAGTAACCTCAAACACTTTGGAGCAATGCTGGATTGTTTTTTTACTAAAGCTGCAATAATGAAAGTTTATGCTCTCAATAAACCAGCACAATTAATGCAGTAACTTTCTGACACACTGCACCCACCTGCCAAGAGCATGGGTGACACTGTTACAAAATCTTGAGAGACTAAATTGTTTCTGAACAGTACCAGAACTGTGACCAAACACTGCCAGCTTTGCTGGGGTCATCAGTAAAGTGGACTGGCCCATTTTGTAGTGTCACCACAACACCTGCATTTGGTGTGCGTGGACCTCTAGGAGAGGGTCAGTGGGAAGTTAACAGCTCCCATGGGTTCCCATCAAGCAAACCAGCAAATCTTAGTTCATTACCACACAACTGCTGGTCAGGTGGAACACCCAAGGAACTTAGGACTCCTTAAGAGCTGCACAAGCTCAAGAAACATCTCTTCCAACTATGATAAAAGACCAAAATTTCAGCTAAGTTTCTTAATAGTGCAGGCTCATTAGTTGGATAAACCACCATTACTATCCTCCACTTTCCACATTTTCAATCATTACTATTTTCCAACTGCAACCACAAACATTAATTTTAAAAAAGGGATGAAGAGAGACCTGGCAACATAACAATGTGATTAAGTGCAATGAAACCAGAAAAGTGTATTCTATTTCTTACTTTAACAATGGTATAAAACTAAAATAACTATTTATAATCAGAAGCCATAAATCAAACACTTCTGCACAAGAGTGGCTTCTGTGGCAATCAAACCACATCATGGTGGTGGGTGGCGGCATAAGGCTGCATGTTATTTACATAAATCCTAAATCTTAGTGGAAATAAATAAATAAATAGAATTAAACTCTCACCATAGTACGAGTTCGACAACCCTGACCTACCTGGTGGCATACCAGGCATAAGAGGTGGGATTCCTGGCCCAGGAGGCATCATTCCACCCATTGGCATCATCCTATTGAACAGAAAATGAGCGCTGGTATGAACACTAACGATAAAATGTTAAGACAACTGGCACATCCCTGTATTAGATAAAATATAATAGTAAATAATTTCAAGAAGCTCTCAAGAGCAGCAATTCCAAACCAACTGACTCCACAAGAAAAAAAAGCCATAACCCAGCACCCAAAACCCCAAACACTTATTTCAACTTTAATTTCTCACGATCTCACTTCCCCTATTATGAGATTTCCAGAACTAGTGTCTCTTGAAATCTCTCAGACAACTAGCTGAGTGTTCCAAGAACCTGATCTCAGTAAACTCATGGAGTCTGAATGTAGGAAAACCAGCTAGCTCTAATCACACTACAATTGCTGTATATCTGCTATTACTCCTCTCTGACACTGACTGACAGATAGCCCCAAGCTGCAGAACTATCCAAAAAATATTGACAAACACAGAGCAGAGACCATAGCGCAAGAAAGCTTCTGGAGTTTCAATTAGAGAATGCACTCCATACAGTAATGATAAAGTGGGGTTTTGGTTTTTTACTATGAAAAGTTCTCACTGTAATGTATTTTTCCCCACATTAAAAATGGGTTTGGTTTCTTTTCCTAGGTGAATATGTATGAGCCCTTTACAGGAAACAAACAAGTGTAGCATAGGTTTGCTTAATTTTTTGCAGACATTCAAAAATAGATTATGGAAACAAAATAAAGGAATGTTTATTATTTTAGTGAGCAAAATAAGCTGATGTGCAGCACTCCAGTACAAACCAAAATCCCACTAAGAAAGAGTTTCTGTTTGAATGACAGTCAAGACACCTTCACCACTGCTGTTTTCAGATCAAATCTCAGGAACAGGTAAGCACTCATTCCAGAAAGTCTGACTTCTACTCTCATCTGTCACTGCTACACAGGGAACAACCACTGCAGAAGCAGCAATGACTGGGAACACAGACACATCGTCCCTTTTTTGGTTGGAAAAGGCAAAGTGAATCCTGCCACCAAGCAGACATCAAAACAAGTGCTGGATGCTCACTGCCTGCTGCCCCAGAAGAATGACTTCCTGAGAAACCGCAGCTAGTGCAAGAACTGGTGTCACACTAAAACCAAAGTTGCTTCCTGTCTCCTAATTCTTTGGTAATTTTTAAACGAAAGTTTATCAGGTTAGTAAACAAAATTTTAGAGTAGAGTGGACAAAAGCATAATGCAACACACCACCCTCTCCTCCCAAAATGAAATGCAATGAAGTTTTGGCAAATTAATTTGTATTTTTACAGGTGACATAACATTCACCTTAAGTTAACAAGGAATTTAATGAGGACTAAGCGTCAGACAACCTGACTATACTGAGTTTCCACCCAGAAAAGCTGAAGTTCTGATGAGCATCCACACCATGTTGATTTATAAATTCAAAGACTGTTAAATCAGTATTTATGTCTCAGAAGAGAACAAGCTTTCACCTCAGTGAACATAAAGTTTGGATTAAACTGAGTTCCTGCAGAATGTCCTGCAGTGTGAAGGATCAAGCACGTGGAGATGTTCAAGCTCTGGTTCAAAAGAGGCTTTAAGTCTCTAAGGGTCTACTTGGTTAACATTTAGTAGAATGCATTTCACATACAGTTTTGTAATACTAATTTATATAAAAGCATAAAACCTTTGCATATTATACACAGTAGAAAAACCTAACTAGACACCTTCCCCAAATTCTTAGGCAATATTCAAAGGTTTTCAGAAAACAATTTCCAGCTTATCAAAAACATGACATAAAATGGCATAATGAATGTACCTAGAATTACATTAATGAGATGCTTACATGTTTCCACCACAAAATGACTGCATGTATTTTCTCTGTTGATGTAATCTGTGAAAATTTATGACAAAATCAAAAATCTAACTGTGATTTTCCAAACACATTGTGATAGGGTATGGTGTCAACCCCAAACAAGCATAAAAAACAACATCTTTTGCCCAAAATACAAGAAAAACATAAACTGTCCAGTAATTTTTCCTGTTATGTTGATGACTGATAACCAGAAGCACAACATATGTGCAATACACAAGGGAACAGTGGATCACAGAAGGCTCTAAACCAACACAATAAAATTTTATATTGATATGCTACTACTTAATAATTACTAAGTCAGGAGAAAGGCAAGATATTTTATTCATAAACTCAGTGTGGACATATTTTACATGTTGGTTTACAGCCATCTAGTTCTTTAGTTAGTCTTAATATTTAGGTTACAGAGTCCACAATTCCCTATGACTATTTTTTTAATTAACTTTACTTTTTCTGTGACAGTTTAAAATGCACAGTATGAACATGTAATATTACATCTTTCTTGCTACTCACCCAGGTGGCATTCCAGGCATAACTGGAGGCATTCCAGGCATCATAGGTGGAACACCTGCCATTAATGGGGGGATACCTTAAAAGAAAAATGTATTTTCAACAACTCTGATAATATCCAGTTGCTAACAAATGTCATCTAGTAAGTTTACACTGGATAAATGCTTTACAGGAAGTTCTAAAAGACTGGGTTTTGAAATAATATTGCTTACAAACAGAGCAAGATAAATACTATCTGCTAATCTGACTTTGATTGCCTTCAGCCCTGCAATACTGTGATCTTAGTGATCTCCAGAGAAGACATCTTGGTACAAGAAGAGACCATTCTTTCTTCACTGTATCTGTGGCCTGTGTATAAACAGCCTGTTCTGTGTTAGCAGTCTCCAGACCTTTCTACCCTGTTTCCAAAATCCTGTTATAAATATCATGAACAAGTATCACTGGTGGACTTTTGTTAGAAGCACTTATCTGTCTTACTACCACATGCCTTCAGTCTACATGCCAACATTAGGTATCTGAATCTAGTCCACCAAGAAAGATGTGCTCATGCACAGAATAGGGGAAGAAAATTAAGAAACTGCTTATCTGCACCTCCCAGAACTATTCTGGGACCCCAGTGTTAAAAGGGCAATGTATTACTCGTGTATACAAGCAGCAAATTCAGGTTTCTACTGAGGTTTTCAGCAACTACCTAACACATCCTCTCACCTGGAGGCATCCCAGGTGCACCTGGCACAGGTGGCAAACCTGGCTGTGCCATCGGGGGAATGTACCCCTGCTGTGGCTGAACTTGCTGGGGTTGAAATGAAGTTGAAGCTGCAGATTCATCATCTTCATACTCATCAGAATCATCCTGTTGTTTCTTTTTCTGGCTCTCTGCAGACAGTACAATGCATATGGTCAAACAACACAAATTATATTCTATAAGATTAACTAACAGCAAAATTCAAACCCTGTCAAGTGTTAAAAAAGTCACTGAAATGCAAAGAAAGAATTCTCTGTAAGCCCACCTATACCCACAAATAAAGGGAAGGAACATGACTCACACTGCCATGACCCTGAACAAAAAGAGGGATCTACCCTCGTGTCAATGTCAAGCTGTCCAGCATAAACCAAAGCAGTTCAACCAAAGGTATGCTCGAACAGCAAAGAAACCAAAGCATTTGGGAATCATCAGGATAGTTTTACCTCTAGCTTTTCTTCCCCTTACCCTCACAAATAAATGACCATGCCCATATTCATTAGCTAATTGTAGCTGCTCTGTCAGGAGCTACCTCTGAAGAGGAAAAATCCCTCCCAGCCTCCTACATGGCTGGCCAACGCCTGGAGCTGTCCTCAGAGAACACATTAAATCCCACCCTCACTGAATGCCACAGCTAAATAAGGAACACACCAGGGAAGTAACAGACATTACACCTTACCCTGAGTTTTTTGTTCAAGTAACCTCCTCCGTTCCTCCATATCTTTTTCTGGTATGCCTTCCATTCCATAGATTTCCAGTTCAATGTCTGTTCTTCCGGGAATAGCATTTGGAACAGCATCTATTGTTTCTTTATGTACCTAAAGAAAAAAAACCCAAACAAATCCTGCTGACCACAATTCAAGATAAATTCTCTGTGTTCTTCAGGCAGTTTCAAGACGGAAAAGGAACATCTTTGATAGGAATAATCTTTCTGGCCAAGCATTGTCTTGATCTATGCTTCCTATCTCTGGTTACTACTATTACCCCTAAAACCAGCTTACATAAACTTAGAAAAACCAAGACAGCACAATTCCTTCACTCCTACAGAACTCCTTACAAAGATCTCTGCTGCACAGTGGCCATCTGACTGCTGACACAGCAGGACTCCTGTGCTGCAAACAGGCCATTGCTATCTTATTCTAACCAGTTTTAAAGACTCTGGAAACCCCCAACCCCCACCTTCTTAAAGACACTTCATTTAAATTTTAGGTACTGTAAAGAAAATCTTATGTAAAGCTAAAACTCCTTACCTGCATACAGTGTATAGCTAAACCAGGTCCTGTATACAGTTTCTTATGACATATATGGCATTTAAAGTGCTTTGCTTTTTGATGTTGTATAAGGATTTTCTCATCATCAAAATCCCTGTTACAATACCTATTGAAGACTGTTAAGGAAACATTTAATACTGGAAGTGACCTTTTAGATAGGACTAAGGTAATTAGTGTCAGTGAGATTTTTCCTGAAGCAAAAGAATGGCACAAGAAGCATTTCTGAGCATTGAAAGGGTGACAAATATTGCATGGACGTCTGAAATCAAACACCCACGTCTGATCCAGCACACCCCTCTTTACACAGGTACAAAAGTGGGAAGGTGTCTGCACGCAATCAGAACCATCACTTGATTCCATATTGTTTGAGTCATGGTTTTCAAGTCCTACCTATTTTTCTCTCCAGGGGTGTGAATGCTGCTACAGCATGAAAGGAGAAACAGGCTTGAAATCAGAAAAGGGAAATTATGCAAATGACTCAAAGTGCCTCTTTAAGCAATTATCAGTAACTAACAATCATAAAGGAGAACAAAGGTTTTAGTTAAAAATTCCCTTTCTCTTCCAGTTAGCCAGCGATCAGTTTTTCTGACACAGCATAATTTGTTGCAGTAACCGAAGAATTCTCTGATCTTAAAAAGAAGCAAAGAACTGTTTGGACATCTATGCAACAGAAAAGGCAAACTGCTTTCCTTTCTGTGAGTCAGCATTGATATTTCAGCAAACACTCCACACATTCTCCTAGGTGAGACAAGTATACGTTTGCTATTTATTATTAAAAAATGTTAACATTTCTAATACAATGTGTCCCTTGCTTCCACCAAAACGTGAAATAAACTATCGTGTCAAACAAGCACAGATGCCTTACAAGACAAAATCGTAAAATACCTCGGGACACCATTTATATTTTATTAAACAATTCTAGAGAACAGAAGCGTAGGGAAAAAAAGTAAATTTGTAATCACAAAAATGAGCACATTCTGAAGGAGCGATAAAATGAAAATTCACCAGTATTTCGGATACTTTAAAATTAAACCTGATCATGATGCAGCAATTACGAATTGAAAGCTCCCCCCGTCACGAAGAAAAAAAGTTTTCAAAAATTCTCTAACCACATTCCATCCCCCCTCCGTGAATAAATGCATTTATCAGTAGCAGGATTTTCTCCCTTTAGCATTCTCCCTCGTGAGGGATAAAGACTTTTCTCCATTTCCCGCTATCCCGGCTTTAGGAATCGGGCGGGAGGCCGCGGCCTCGGCGAGAGCGGGCCTGAGGCCGTGGGGAGCAAAGGAAAGACACGGACTGGACCCCATCCTAAAGATCACGGGGCTGGAACAAGGCCAAGCACAGAGACAAACCGTAACGAGCTTGGGAAGAAGGGCTGAGCCCCATCTCGGGACGAGACGGAACGGGACTGTGCCCCGACCGCGCCAGGCCGCGCCGCTCCCCTCCCCCACCGAGCTCTCCGCATCCGCCCCGTCCCACACAGAAGGATACCAGCACCAAGGCTTCAGCTGCTTCTTCTTCTTACGGCCCATGGCGGCGTCACCCCGACCTACAGAGTAGGAGACCTGAGCGCTCCCTCAGAGCCGCAGCGCCCGCGCGGCCGCCCCAGACCGAGCGAGAGACACAAAATGGCGGCCGAGCTCCTTCAGGCGCTACTGCGGCCTCCGAACTCCCAGAATACACCGGGGCGGGGGAGTGGAGGGAGGGGCACGTGACGCACTCGCGGTCGCCCCCACCTGCCTGTCCCGTGACGCCTCACGGCGCCGCCGCCATTTTGTCCACTCGGGACTGTGGGGGCTGTGCCTGAGGCACCCGAGTGTGTCGCTGAAACAGTCACGGAGTGCTTTGGGCTGGGAGGGCCTTAAAGCCCATCTCGTTCCACACCTCTGCCATGGGAAGGAACACCTTCCACTAGACCAGGTTGCTCTAAGCCCTGTCCAACCTGACCTTGAACACTTCCAGAGATGGGGCAGCCACAACTTCTCTGGACAGCCTGTACCAGAGCCTCAGTTCCCTCAGAGCAAAGAGCTTCCTCCTAATATAAACTGTTGATTGTCTTCGTGTTTAATGTCACAGAGAAACTCTTTTCCCCACTAAATGTTAAAAGGCAAGAAGCTGCTGCCCTGTGCAGCGTTCTGGTGCTGGCTGTGCCTGTGTTGCTGGGTGCTGACAGCGAGGCCTTGGCATGTGGTGGAGCCTGGCACCCTGAGAACACAATAAAACCGGCTTAAATGTGTTGAGCCATCACTATCCAGTTACCTGCACCTGGACAGGGGCTGGTTCCTCTGCTACAGTGACAATCCATCAGGGTGTGTTTCTGTTACCTCCATGGCTCTCAAGCTCACCACAGGTCCACTAGGTGCTTAGAGGAGAATCACAGAATCATTAAAGTTGGAAAAGGCCTTTAAGATCATCGAGTCCAGCCATCAGCCACGTCCAGCCTTTTACAGTGTCCCTGCTGCAGCTGGAGGTCACAGCTGCTCCCTACAGGGCTTGTCTGCAAAAGGAGACTGTGGAGTCTCCCTCTCTGGAGACATTCCAAACCCACCTGGATGTGTTCCTCTGTCACCTGCTCCAGATGACCCTGCCTTGGCAGTGGAGTCAGACTGGATGATCTCCAGAGGTCCCTTCCAACCCCAACAATTCTTTGATTGTGTTAATAATGACAATATAATATTGGCTTTTGCATTTATATATTAGCTTTTACATATTGTTATTGATCATAAGTATTTGGATATGGTAAAATTTGTAACTCCTTTTAGCTGCTTATTACTACAACACAATGTATTAGTTTCGCACTGCTTAGCTTACAGAAATAGTAATGTGAATAATTTATTATATCTACACATGCACCATATAGCTTGTAGAAACAGTAATGTGATGAATATATGTATGCGTTAGCAAAACATGAAATATTAAAATGCTCCTATGTAACTAAGGGAATGGTGTAAAGCAATTATGTTGTTTCCTCCACATCTGCTGACTGACCTCTCCAAGTGATAACAAACAGAGCACCAAACAGATAACAAACCAGAGCACCAGAGAAGAATTGGAGAATTTGTTAACTCCTTATCAGAGAGTGTGAAACAAGTGGGTGGAAAAAGAAGAAGAAATAAAATATACTGACCTAACCCAAAGGATGTCATGCAGATAAGTTAGAGTGTAAAACCAAAGAGCTCCTGAAACATCAAAAAGCTCACAAGAATGTTTGAATAGTGTATGAAATACATGAATATGCATGTACCTCAATAATGTAACAGTATATAGATAACACTGTCTTAACCTACCAGCGTGTTCTTTGGCCGATAGCCAGAAACCCCAGCGCTGGACATTGTCCCTTTTTATTCCCTTATTAAACTTTTAAAAATTCTAGAGAGTGAACTTAGTTTTTCAGACTGAGATTCTGTAATTACCCGGTAGCCACAAAGCTGAGTTAACAAATGTGCTGTTTAAACAAGGAAAAAGTATTTCAGAAGCGGAACATTTTAAAAGCAGACAGCACGGCTAATCCTGTCAATCCTTCCAATCCAAACCATTCTATGATTCTAAGATGTGATTTGAGCAGGTCCTGCCGTTAAGTCAGCGACCGGCTTTTGAAGGATTACTTGTACTGACAGGCACTGCGGCGCCGGTATTGCATTTTTCTGTGCATTACACAAACGGAGGAGCTGCAGCATCCGCAGGCACTTCTCCTGGGGTGGGGTGAGGACACAGCCCGTGCGCTCCGAAGGCTCCTCCCAGCGCCGGGCCCCGGGGCGGGCTCGGCCGGCGGGGCGGGGCGGCGGCGCGGCCCGGCGGGTCCCCGCTGCTCCCCGCGGCACAGGCGGGGCCGGGGCCGCCATGCTACCGGCGCTGCCGGACGGCGATGAACGGGAGCTGGAGAGCAGCGAGGAGGGCGGTGGTGCGGGCGAGGAGCGGCGGCCGGAACGGCACGGCTGCACCTACCACGGTCTCTATGGCTACCGCAGGTGAGGCGCCGGCATCCCCCGCGGCGAGGCCGTGCCCAGGCCTTGGCCGTTCCCAGCTCCCTGAATTCTCTATATTTTTTTTTTCCCCTCTCTCCCCAGTGAGATTCTTTCGCTCCTATAATGTACCGATTCCCTGCTCCTGTTTTTATTCGCCCTCGGGCCGTGCCTTTTCCCTGCTGCAGCCCCTGTTCCCTGTTGGTGTCAGGGCTGTAAACTCACTCCCGGGAATCCCTTGGGTTCCAGGTCCGTGCAGCAGGGAGCTGCCGGCGGGGATGGCAGTGCCGGCGGCGCCGTGGCACACACACCCTCCACCGAAGACTTCAGGTAAAGCACCACAATCGCGGGTATACCCCGATTTGAAGTCTTTGCCTTATTGCTGTCAGATTACTGTTAGGTCCTCTGCAGTCCTTTCAAAACACAGCTGCCTGTGGAAGTATTCTGGAGTCCCTATGCCACTTCTTCTGGAATACCTGGGGAATGGACACATATACAGAGCTCAAGTAATGTATTAAACAGAAACTATCATCCTTGAGTTTGAACTCGCTTTTTTTTTTTGCAACTAGTACTTGATATTGTTGTATTGATTTAAGTTTTTCATGTAGGTAACATACAAAAAAAAAAATATTCATTTTCAATGGACATCTTTCCAAAAGCTCTGTATTACAGTTGGGGAAACATAGGAACAAAGAGGGCAATGTCTTGTCTGTAGCTGCTGGGAAGGTCAACATGAGCTGAGCACATCTCCAGACTCCTGGTGAGTGGGCAAACCACTGACTGCTCATGATGGGCCAAAAGTCACAGAGCTACCTTAGCTGTCACCAGAGAGAGATCGCGGGGATTCCCCTGTTAGAGGCAGGTTCTGCACGGGCTGAGAGACTCCAAACAATAACATTTGCCTTTTGGTAATGATTTCTTCTGGTTTTTAAAGCCTCTCCTTACTGGACACCAATTTACCAGCTGAAGCAGAGACGGAGTTGCGCAGTTTCATCGCTAAGCGTCTTACTAAAGGAGCGCTGTTTGAAGGAATGGGAAATGTAGTATCAGTGGGGCTGAGGTAAATTTTTGAAATTATTGGTGAATGAGAGCTGTAAGGAACATTGGCACATCTTGCCTGCCTGCTGCTGCACTTAGGTTTAATCCTGATTCTGTGTTCTCAGTCTGTTGCTGCTGTTAATAACAGCCTTACAAAATGGCACTTTCCTTTTTTAGGTGACTTTGAGAAAAATATTGTTTTAAATAATTTATTGTTTGAATACTTAAAAAATACTTCAGATACTTATGATTATTTCCTTTTAAACTACTCTGATCACACAGAAGAAAAAAGAAAATGTCTAAGACCTGCACCTATGGCTGCACCTACCACGGCCATAGGAGCCACCAGTGCTAAGGGTTAAAACTACCTCAGAAATCATGTATGTCTGATTTTTGCACTTATTGTGATGTATCTGGAAGAAAGTACTTTTTTTTTTTTAATGTTTTTCTTTTCCTTTTCTCATAGCATACCAGAAAGTAGAGTTGGTTGTTACTACTGTCGTTTCCAACAAGAAAGTCTTCTGGAAATGGCAACGTTGGAATCAGACATCAGCACTCCAGAATATGTGGTTTGTTTCTTAGGTGGCTCAGAGAAAGGTCTGGAACTATATCCTTACCTTTAACTTTCTTTACCTGTATGGAGAGGGAGATGATGTAAAAATTATCTTGTCATTTTGTCTGTTCCTACTTGAAATCAGCTCGTTTGTGCATACCTTCCAGTAACAGAAAAAGTCAGTAACAGCCATATACTGAAAGGAAAAAATACAGGTCTTAAGTGATGCATCTTATTTTCCTTAAGAAGATACTTTCAGGCTTGAGCTGGACAAGTACATTCAAAATCTGAAGATAAACTTTGATTTGGAGGTAAAGCCTAACTTTTTTTTTAAGTGATGAAAATTAGTATTTATATAGATTATTTGCTAAAAGGATATGGAAGATCTAGTCTATAGAGACAAAATAGGGGTTTCAGGTACCAGTATGAAACACTGGGAGAGATACTTGACTCACTGTAGTACAATGAATGTCTAAAGTGCTATCAGCCACACATGCCAAAAGGAAAAAAAGAAAGGGGGGGGAACCTTTTTGTGTCAGTCATAAAACTCTTAAATGTTACAATTAAATTTAGAGAGAGGAATAATCAATAAAAGGTGATGGTCTACAGGGAACTTCTCAATATCCACCTTGATTTTTACCAGTTCTGAATGTTAAGAAAAGACATTTGTGGGTTTCTTGTCACATTTTTCTAGTGGAAGTTCTGCATTTTAAGTCTGTTTGTCATCCCATCTGCTGTTGCATGGTCTTCACTTAATATATACCATAATATTACAGTTCTGGCTGTTTTTTAAAATGCAAAGCCTTTAATTGCTGATAAAATGAGGCTTTAAATGTCAAACTCATTACTTAGTTCACTGTAGTTTGAGATTAAGAAGGTTCCAACATCCAATTATCTTAGGTTGAGTAGATTATTAATAGGCTTCTATTGGTGTAGAAAGCTGATTTGTAGTTAAAGTTTCAATATTTCAATGTGTTACAGCAAAAAAATTTGGAGACCTGTGTTAGCCCCTACCTGAGGAGCTGGTTTGAGGATGCCATCTGCCCTATCCAGAGGGTTGTGCAGCTCTTCCAGGACAAACTTGCCTCTCTGCTACATGCTGTAAGTGTATTTAAAACTGGGTGGCTAAAAAACCTCCAGAAGCTATCTCAGTGACTCCAGCATGGTTAAAATGTTTCTTGCATTTGCCTTCCCAGCAGGAAGAAATGAAAACTCTTTCCTTGTTGTTGTTTCTTGTTGGGTTTTTTTTTTTTTTTTTAATTCAGACCAAGTACTTTTCCCTTGCTTATTGCTAAAGAAGCATGTAACAATTTCTTCTGTCATTTTAAAAAAAATTACCTAATGGTATCCACACTGAAATTAGAGTAAGAAAATCAGCAATAGCATGAGCAGCATTAGCAATAGCATGAACATGATATAATCCTATTAATGAAAAGGGGTGTTATATTGTGTATGTGCCTTGTGTTCACTGGAAACAGAAAAGAGACTAATCCTAAATCTAATCTCTGAGTTTGAGGAGGCTCTGGATGGAATAGCTAACAGAGTATAACTGCTGAATTTCTTCTGAGTGTAGAACCAGCTGCAATGGCAATAATACAGAGTACTGCCTTGACAAGAACAGTCTTTAAAGTACCACATTATGTATTTATTGCTTAGAACTGCAATATAGCAACAAAAGTAATACTGAAGTTGCATCCAGCTTTTTCCCATTTTTTTTTTGTTTCTTTTTTTGTTTAAGGCTCTGAGTTACACTCCTGTAGAAGTCAAAAATGCAGATGAAAGAACAGAAAAGGACATTAGCAGGTAAAGATACTTTGAGCCCAAGGAACCTCTGAGTAACTTGGTTGTGTCTGACAGTCACCTTGGTGTCCAGGTGTTGGACACCTTGGAGTTGTAAAGGAGCAAGCAGTTGACAAAAGCTTTCTGTGTCAGGTTCCTGGCAGCTGCCAGCCTCCAAGGGCTTGTCCAGGAAGGCACAATGACCTCCCTGTGCATTGCCATGACAGAGGAACAGCACAAGTCCATGGTTATAGACTGCAGTGGACCTCAGCCCCAGCTGCATAATGCAGGTGAGATTACAGCTGGGAACACTTCATGTTGCTGCCTTGGATCCATCAGCTGCTGAGAGCTGTGACATGAGAGGCAGTTGAGGATATTCAGAAGCTCATGGGCTCCTGCCCAGAAAGTTTGGGTTCTGTTTTCCTATGAGGTACCAGAGTTGTTTGTTACATCAGACACACTGGAACTCTGGGTTGAAAATGCTTAGTAATAAAATCCACAGTTTCATTTAGTTTGTGGACCATGAAAGTATGAGTTGTACAATTCAGGGAATCTGCAAAACTTTTTTTTCCTGTTGTGGTTTTGACAAATGTTGGGAAAAGGGATTCAACAATCAGAACACACTTGTGTAATCACAGTAGCTGTATTTGCTTTTCTTTTCCATGTGTATTGTTTTTCCTTAAGACTCATTTCCTGGCCCAGGTATCACTTGTTATGTGAGAGTGATTAATGCAGCTGTATATTTATGTTGAGCTCATTTGCTTTTTCTCATCTCATCTCTGTGGTCCTCTGTGTCCCTGATCATTTAAAAGGAAGCAACAGATTCTGTGAGGACTGGATGCAAGCTTTCGTGAATGGTGCTGAGGGTGGAAATCCATTTCTCTTCCGGCAGATTTTGGAAAACTTTAAATTGAAGGTACCTGTTCATATATGTTAAAGACTTGAAAAAGATATTTGGGTTACTGAGGGAGCAAATACTATATGCAAAATACTATTTTGCAGTGAATTAAAGTTTTAGGTTATTACATGTCTATATGTCATTAACTGATTAACTCTGAAGCTTAATTTGAGGGCTGGCTTACTGTAGTTGACAAGAACAGCTGTAAAGTAATATTAAAGTTTCTTCAGTGAATGCTTCAAAGGTGCTTTCTCAAATTTAAAGTAAGACCCGTCTTCTTTGTTGCTGTTGTTTTCTTCAAATACTGTTAATCTGAACCTTGCACACAGTTTCATGCAACTGGTAACATGGGTTGAGTAGCTAATACTTTTTAACTGAGCTGCCATAATAGAATTCTTGCTACGTGTTGGACTCATCACATTGTGTCTACACATTTTGCATCATTGCTGTAGAAGCTATAATATTCATCCAAGACAATATTCAATTCTTGCATTACTCTTAAGTAGTACTACAAAGTTTCTACTGGAAATACTTTTGTTTCTCCTGCTATTTATCCTTTATTTTCCATGATAGTGTGTTTTCATTCCATGTAGGAGGATAAGAAAATGCTCTGTTACTCTTTTTCCAGGCTATTCAGGACATTAACAACCTGAAGAGGTTCATCCGCCAGGCTGAAATGAACCACTATGCTTTGTTCAAGTGCTACCTGTTCCTAAGGAATTGTGGCAGTGGAGACATCCTGCTGAAGATTGTGAAAGTAGAACATGCAGAAATGCCAGAAGCCAGGAACGTAGTGACCGTCCTGGAAGAATTCATGAGAGAAACATCAGTGGCTTAAAATATCTTATGTATAAATAATTAATTTCTGTGCAGCTATTGCAGGAATTTTAATTTATATTTAAAAGTATTGCCTAAGTCAAACCTTAGTTGCAGTTTCACCTGCCTTTCCTTATTTTTAGACAAAGCACTATGATCTTTTTTAATGTGTAAATATCAGATAATACAAACTCCTGCAGAGTTTTCAAATTCTCCAACTGACTTGCTCCTGTTCTGAGAAAATCATATTTGATTTTTACAGTCATTGCAAGACCAAACCCAAATCCCTTATCTAGCAAACATTTCACTGTTTTAAATATTTTAAATATCTTAAAAATCACTTAGATCTGGCTACTGTGTTTTAATAAAGAAGTACAAACAGCTGGACAGATCTAGATAATGAATTGATCATTTTAGTTTAGATTAGAGAACCTAGGTACCAAGTCTGTAGCTGGTCTCTGCTTTCAAACTGCTGGTTTGTTGTGCTGCCACTGGATAAACAAGTTGGTAATTGGTATGAAACAGCTGCCTTAAGACTGAACCGTTGCAGTGATCAGTTTGTATGTGTGCAAACCTACACATAACAGGTATGAGAAATTCCCAGGTTTTTTGATGAATCCCCTCCTTCCTTAGTCTGAGATGTAATCAAGACCTTCTTATATTACAGTTTTGCATAACTAAATAATCTTACGTTTTTCAATCATGAAGAAACTAAAAAGTTTCCACATTTAATGTTAAGACATTTTCAGAATATGAAGTATATGAACTTCCCAAATTAATTACTCAGACTTTAAAACATTTCACTGTATCAGCAATGGATTCTTACCCACATCATGTGACATATAGGCAGCAGAATACCTGAAGAAAATCTTAGGCTACAGCTGGCATAAAAACTCATCAAGTCTCTGCTTCATGAGGTTATGAGTTCATAACCTCATAAAGAGGGTGATTTCTGCAAACCTGATAAAAGCAGAATTCCCTGTTGGTTCCCTTTGCAGCAGAGGATGTTTTAACTCCCCCTAAAACAGTGCCTGTAACTAACACAGCTCAGTTTGACTTGTGCTGGTGCTCTGTACTGTGAGGGCAGGAATTGCACCGTGTTGAACCCATAATAAAGTTGACAATAAAACATTGAAATCCTCAATAGTGCGTCTATAAATTGTCAGTGAGTGTGATCCTTGGTGTCTCCTGTTCAAAACACTTTATCCCTCAATGCAGAGGACCTGCAAGTGTGCCATCAACAGCCAAGGTTACATATGATGTAGTTGGGCAGGGCAGAGAAGTAGCGAGAAAGAAAACAAACCCCTCATTCAGTCATTTGTAGGAGCTCTGAGAAGTAACGAATGTTTTCCTTCATCAGTGAGTACAGCAGCATCACTCAATAAAACATTGCTCCCCTGCCTTTCTAACAAAGTTGGAGCACTGATTGTTCAGTTTTTTGGCAGATGAGGACACAAGAAAGAGCTCAGTGCTTAAAAAAGAAGTTGGATGTGAAGAACAGGTAGCATGTATGGTGCTAGCAGGCTGTAACACCTTTTGTATGAGTTGACAAAAACTGACAAAACCCACCTTACCTTTGTGCTGAAAGTCCTCAGCTAATGGAGAGATTTGAGTGTCTCGTGAAGTTTAGTTCAGTGGCAGAGAACTGACAGCAAGAGCCGAGTCCCACACACGGTAGCAGGGATCTGCCTGTCTTAGGAGTAGCACATCTGACAGGAACTGCTCCTACATCTGTCTCTTCATTCCTATAAATTACACTTTAAACCAGTGTTTCCCAACAAAAACACAACTTATTTTTCAAAATAAGCCTCCCTCTTCCACACTGGTAGAAGGATTTTTATTTTAATCAGCTGGGGGTTTACTGCAGAGCATTTTGGATATGTTGTTTCCACTGTTGATTCAAGAGATGAGTGTTGGCTCTCAGATTTGAAAATATTCAGTAGAGACTGATGTTAAAAGAGTACAACCCTCTTCCCCAGTAAAAAAAAATTACTTAGATGTAAAAAAATGCAAAAAAAAATTACTCAAATGTCAACTTCCCTGCAGTTCTGAGGTCACTGCAATGAAGGGACAGCTGCCAAAGGTGGGACAACATCTGAATTTCTGTACAAGTCCCAAGCCAGTTCTGCATCCTCATTAGATCTTGTGGAGAAATGAAGCTGCAGTTCACTCTCCCTTTTATCTGTTAGACAGACATAAAAATGAGTTACCAATGTCATTATTAGAAGATTACATGGCAAAGCTCCAAACCAATGGATCTTTTGTTAAATACCATGTTAACTGTAGACAAACTTACAAAACTGTCCTTGAAAGTTCTTTCTTGGTTCTTTTTTTTGGTATGTGATACAGAACAACTCAATTTTATTTAAAAAAAATAAATATAAAAGATAAATGAAACAGAAAACAAACAAAAAAAAACACCAAAAAAATTTAATGGATTCTGCGCTCAAATAATATTGTCACAACAAAAATATACAGAATGTACACAATACAAAAATATTTGAAAACATACAATAGCATCTTACCTTGCAAATATCATTTTGTTTTACTAGCCCTTCACAGGGAAAGTACCATTTGTTCAGTATTTTAAGGCAGAAAATTACGTAGTTTAGTGCTTTGTGTTTAACACTTGGATGTGGTGTTAGCATTAGCAGTGTAAGCAAAAGAAAAGCTGCATAAATCTGGCTTTATTTGCAAACTGAACAGACACTGTGGGAGTCAGGAGAGAGTCAGTGACAATGTATGTATCAAGCTCGCTGAAAATAAGGTACTTTAGCTACTTAAATCATAGGAAATATTTTGTGCTCTGTGTTGTAAAGTACCCTGAAACATTTTTTCTGTACTCCTACTGTCATATTAGAAAGCTTTTTCCAATTAAAAGCCAATGATTAATGGTGACATTAAAATGCATTTGCCTTTAAATAAGCTTGGTTTCTGTTTTAGGTGCAATTCTTTTTTACAGAGCTGCAAAATGCACTGCACTCCTTTATAACCAGCTCATGGCATCAGTGATTAGAGAAGAAATCTTTGAGTTCTACCACACAAAGCACTGCAGAGCAGCCACCATTGTAAGGGGGGCAGAAGAGCAGCAATATTCAGAGGTTCTGGCCTGGGCTCTCTAGTCCCAGCTTGCCCCCAGAGGTGGCTGGTGCTGAACTGCCACATCCCCATTCTCCAGTTCCACTTTGGGCAAAGACAGTGGATGGGTGCTCCAAAGCAATTGGGCTGAGCTTGAATCTTTGTAAACAGGCTTTGAGCTCTTTACTCACTGAAGGATGTGTGAAAGTTCTACCCACCATCCTGTGAGACTAAATATTGGCAGAGAACAGCAGCTGCCTTGTGAGGTCAGCAGTCAGCTATCATGCCAGTCACCAGCTCTGAACACGTCGGATTTCATCCTCCATGGCCCAGTTCAAACTGAAAGGGCCCAATCTGATCTAAAACACATGGGCAGTATAATCCAACAGAAGCAGCAAGGTGTTGGGATACAGAACCCCTGAGATTTATTTCTAGTAACAATTTCTCTAGCTTCCCCCCTCCCGGTTGATAACATACTTCCCACTGCCAAAGGAGCAAATAGTGAAAAAGCACAATATGCCACGTAAGTGCTAAGACTCCTCATCAACTGATAGGGAAACAGTGACACATGATGTTGTCTTAAAACTCAGCGAAAGTAAATTCATCAGCACTTTTATGACTGCTACACCTCACTCAGAGATTGTTTCTGGAAACCTCCTCTCCTACAAATGCATGACAACTCTCTCCCTCCTCCTATCTGTGCTACTACCGCTGTGTGTTAAACTAATCTTTACCTGTCTCCAAGCATCTAGGAATAAAAGGTGCCGTTTGCAGTCCTCGTGGACTTTGATCTGCCTGGTTCTCCTCCCCAGGGCTGTCGCAGCCCCTTGTCCCGCCTGTGGCCGGTGCTGCTGCCCGTGGCCGGCAGGTGTCCCTGGCAGCTCCGCATCCAGCGCCGGCTGCTCCGCCTGCCGCACTGCTCCTCATCCTCACGGACCTCTGCTGCAATTAACTCACTGCAAGGGAAATCCACCACACAAACGACTGCTTTTTTTTTCTTTTCTCCCCCAGGTGTTGTGTCCTCACTCAAGGACACAGTGTAAAATAACTTGCTCCGCGGTGCTCTGTTCAAACCTGTACATTGGTGACAGTCTTTGCCTTCTGCTCTAGCATTGCACAGTCATAAAGTTCAATAGATTCATGTTTTATCTAACTGATGGAAAATCCTAGCAGTAGCTAAAATAAAACCACAACAAATCACTGAAACCAGTCCCCCAGTGGATGCTCCTTCAGGAGCACACTGCTGACTGTGACAGGTTGGAACCATGAATGAGCAGGATGGAGAATATTCCACCTCCAACATGAGCCAGCAGCTTCAAGGACATCTGGAGGTGACACAAAAGCCTGGTTGCTGTTAGCTCTGTGGTGCTGCAGCACTGTGGCACTCCTGGGTGTGTTAGAAGATAACATAACTGGAATTCATGATACTCTGTAGAAACACAGCAAGTTTTCACACTGTAATTTTAATGATTAAAAAAATAATTAAAAAGCTTTAGCACTTTGTGCTGCTTCTGGCTCCATGAGCTGACTGATTCTTAGCAGACAACAGGCTCTGTGCATAAAATGCTCCATATATGGGGGGAAGATTTCAGCTCTGATGAGCAGGAATGTGAAAGGTTTCATTCCTTCACCTACAATAAATCTAACACTGCCTTAAAATCTGCCTTTCTGATCCCCAGCGTTGTTTGTAGACTTGTTCAGGCAGGGTATGGGGACACAGAATGAAGTCAGAAAGATGAACAACAGCTTAAAAGAACAAGTCAGAAGATCAACTTCAGAGCTGTTTTCAACCAGTTCATGTAAACTACACTCATCTATGGAAGAAGGACCAAGGAAGGCTGTCTGCATTACTTGGTTCAGCTCCCTCCCACGCCTGGACTGAGTAAAGACATTTTGGCCATGATCAAGCTGATCAAGAAACTGGTGGCTCTTGAACTTTTATCTTGTTTCACCTCAGAGCACACACTGGCAGGCACAGAAAACTTTACTAGTAAAAAACTCATGGGCAGTAAGTAGCTTCCAGGTGAGAAAACAAAAATTAAAGTCAATTGGAGCACATCGCACTCTGGTAAATTATAGGCAAAATAATCTGGGTTTTTTTGCAATTGAAATTTTCTACCAAAATTTTAAAAGCTTTCCTAAGATTTCAGAACTCCCATTCTTGGTCACCTCTGTTTTGAAGGCATCTGTAATGAGAAAGGCTTAGCAATAGGTGAGGGAAGGAATGTCCTCCTGACTTGTTAACCATGTCAGAACTCTCCTAGCTCCCACTCTCCTTCCTGCCTGCTCCCAGGGGGGTCCAGGGCTACAACTCTCACTGGGCCAGCACCTGCAATGGTCTGTGGGAACTCTCGTGACTGCTGGGATCTGGACCCAAACTGCAGAGGTAAATATGCTCAGGGAACCAATCCCTTCTCCAAAATGATCAGAGCTCTGCCTTTATCCCTTCCTCTTGGTCCTCAATGAGGGCCCATGAGCAATGTACTGGCCATGCAGAACAAAAGTTGCAATTGCCCTCAGAAATCTTATTTCTGTGCACAAAGGTGGCGAAAATTGTTTCTTTTGCAGGTAAGGCTTATTCCAGGCTGCAGAAACACTTAATTTCTCTCTGCTCCTTCTGAGGCAACAGAAGCTTTATGGGTGCATCTGGTGGGAGAGAACTTCATCCCTCAAGAGTTATTTTTCCATAAGAGGCAAAGAAGGGGGCAGCTGATAAGCACTTGTGGATGTCCCCTCGAGAAAGTCAGACTCCTACTAGCTTGTGGTATCATCTGGCAGCATGGATAGCACAGCTGAGAGAACAAAGCCCACAACATAGAGACATTTTCTACAGAGCAAACACAACTGCTATGGTGCCTGTGGGATGTGCAGTGAAAGACTCTGGTGGCTGTGCCTGGGCACCAGCAGGAAATAGAAAAAAAGGAAGAGAGTAGCTTGTCTGCAGAGACTCTTATGGCTGCTTTGTCCATCCCATTGAATAGCTGGGTAAAGGGCAGAGGAAAGGAGGGTACCCACATTCCTGGACTGTAATTTGGCAGCTCTCTAAAGTGACAAGCAAAATAAGCC